TTGATCTAGACCGATCTCAATAGATTTCTTATATTTACTTCCTTCCAACTAAGCTTATATACATATGTATGTACATATAAACACAAACACACATATTCGTTTCCCATTGAAATGAAATTTCTTATTAATATTATTGGGCCTTTAGATTAGGTAAGTTCAGTATGATTTTTTTCTTGATCCCATAATAAAAGTTTAAATAAAAAAAAAAAAAATCTCTTTTTTTTTTGTAAAATAAGATTTCTTTATGTTTTCAATAGAATTCTAAGGTTTTTTTTTTTATTGAAATCAGAAATCCTTCTATCATTAAAGCAAGAAAAATTATAAGACAACAAAAAAACACTTTGAAGGTTAGCGAAATTTAACTATTTTAAAGGTTCTATTGAATTGACATGCGGCAACAGGTACATTTAAAATAAAAAAACACACACACACTTATATTGTACCTGTACAAAAGGTAAAACGTCAATAAAACCATTGTCTGTTATTGATAGTAGAAATTTTTCAAATGATACAGGAAAAATGTAGGTATATTGTGTGCATGTACATAAACTTTTGTTGAAAGCAATAAAAGTAAAATTCTCGTTTTGATGAAATAATGATAATCTGCAATATAAAGGAGTAGAAAATGATGGTTATTTGAAAAACAAAACAATTTTAAGATCAGAAATGTTGAAAAGGAAAAAAAAATATTAATTGAGTTGGCGGTAATAATAGCCGTAGTTTAATGAATTGTGATGTGAACATGAGCATTTTGTTTGTGATCAAGGAAAAGTTTCCAATCAAATTTTCATCAATGAATTTCTAAATTACTTTACAATTTGAAGAATGAAAATTCTGAATAAAATGCTTTAGAAATAATTAAAGTTTTGATAAATCAATCAAGTGGGTTTGTTGGTTCTTCCATCAGAATTGGGTATGTATGATGTATATTATATAACTATGTAAGTATTTCGACATACATATATAATATGTTTGTATGTAAAATAAATATATGAAAAGTAATAGTTTATATTTTCTTGACTTATTTTAGCTTCACATGATAATTTCAAATGTACATACGCGCTATAAAAGGAATATAGAAAAGAAAGTTATTGAGAGTATGTGAATAGAATATAAAATTAAAATCTCGAATTGAAAGACACTGGTCTGGCCTCCAAATTGGTAAAATATTTGTTTTTAAACTAGCTGTAAATAACATTTTAAGAGCTTTAAAACTTAGCCATTTTTACTGTATTGAAAATACTTTGCAGAATATTGCGACGGCATATTATTAAAAGTTTACAAATAATTTTAATTACTGAAAGATGATTTCTATAAAATTATTACTTAAGTATGGTTCCTGAAACTGCATATTTCTAAAATGATGATCGATAGATATAGTAATTACAAATAATTTTATGAAATCCTGCGATATTGTAAAATTATCTTGATTAAGTCAGCTGTGTATAAATCATATAAGATGTTTAAACGCTATAAGGTTTTGTGCTACCATCTCATTTTCATCCTATTCTCATCATAATTCCCGTTTTGAAGCATTCAAATTTAATATTTTAAACAAAATTTAATAAAATGTTGTTAATATAAATTTGAAAAAAAATGTGCAGTTCAATTACATGAGTTCAAAAATCATCCATAATAATTTTTGGACATAAAATAATTTGCACTATCAATAAATAACGCAAATATTGTAAAAGCAATATTTATTTTTAACATTTACGCAATATACTCAACTTATTGTCTTTAATATCAACACGAAAATATGTGTAATGGAAAACAATTTTATAAAATTGATTCATCTGAAAAACGGATGCATAAATATTAAATTTCATTTAAAAGATAGAAAATATTGAATTTTCATTATTCTTGAAATGAATGCCCATATACTAAAATTAAAGTATTTTTCATACCCTATAGCATTCCACTGTAATATGCAATAACTTTTTTTGATTTTTTTTTTTTAGGCGAAATAACACGAAATATAAAATAAGCGGTAAGGTAGCATTTTAACAATGTATGTAAATTTTTATATATAGATCTTTTAAAATGATCTTCATGGAAACATAAAACCACCCACAGTAGTTTTGCCTAAAACCATTTCAAGGAAATACACATTTAAAAGATTTGAAAAAATCTTGGGAATGTAATAACAGGCTATGGTATGAGGTAACAATAAACAACCAATGTGTAGGGAAACCATCACGTGGTTAATTATTAAAGTTAAGATATATGTATGTATGTACCTGTGGAAGTTTTTGAAATTATTGTTCTTAAAACAAATAAGCATACATAAAAGTTTATGGGTAAAATTTTAACAATTCTCAAATTTTTTTTCATGTAGTTGTAAAGTAAGTTGATTTGATTTGATTTGATTTAATAGAATTTTTGACTTTGCATACACGCTTGCGTGCTTTAAATAAAACTGAATCAATAAAGATATGTGGTCCACCTGTGCGTACTATCTAAAATATTATAAAATAAAAATTGCTTGTCTTGGAAAAATGTTTTTTACCTCTACACCAACTCCAAATCTTATTTTTACAATATTTTTTCTTATAAGAAGATATTATACTAATTCACTCAATAGAACTTTTCTTACACATCTTCAAAATTTCAAAACTATTTAAAATCGGTTCAATAAAATTTTAGGTTGACTATTGCTGCACATTTTCATAAATATGTATTTGTTTGCTTGATAACCATTATCATTGGAAAATGAAGAATAATATAAAATTTATTGGCTAATAATATATTTAAAGTGCCGTAATATTTTATTTTTATGTCTTTAAAAGACGTTTACTTAATTGTAAGTTACAAGGGAATACACTTTAAAGCATTCTACTACATTCATATTTTTTCAAATTTTTTATGTCTATGCGTTTGTTATTTTTGCTAAATTTCCAATATAAAAGGAAGCAGGTCAATTGTACGTTGAATATTCAAAATTTTATCTCCAGATTACTTCTCTTGTAAAAATTTCGTTGTTTACCAAAAGAAGCAAAAATTTTTAGCTAAATCTAAAAAATTTACTATGAAAAATAACTATATTCAAAAACTATTCTTGATATATTTATCTCTAATTTAGTTACCATTTTTGTGATGGCATTTTACAATCAAAATAATTATCACCTATAATGTAAAACTATAAAATAATTCTCATTAATAAAAGAAGAGTAAAATTAACGAACGTTATTACTTAAGTAAGTTTAATTTATAATTATAAATTCCTTCCTTCCTTTTTTCTCATTCAAATCTTCTATCTTCACTAAAACATAATTTCTCAATACCATAAAAATATTAACCATAAAAGTTATGAACAAAATGATTAATAAAATTGCATAAACTCAGGATGAACGTAAATATCCACATTTCTGCGATTTTAACAAAAAAAAATAATTAAACGTAAATTTATTGCATATGATTAGGAGAAAAAATTTTGAAAACCACCAAATTCAAACTTAAAAGTTTTGCTACGAATCATCTACCTGTTGCAAAACGGTTTCTTTGAAATTTTTATACGCTATAAATACTCACGCTCGTAAATAAAGGGGACCCAAATTGAGAGCTTAAAAAGTGTTCTAAAAATACATACTTCAATTTCTTTAAAAAAAAAGTGTAATATTTGCAAATATTTCGGGAAAAAACGGTCAAATGACATTGATTACTTTAGAAAACTAATAACCATCCATATTCTGTAAGTTGCGTCATTGACTTGATAAAAAAAACCACAAATACTCGTATTAGAATGATAGAAAATTTTTATGGTTTTAGCATTAACAGCTGACGTGATGTCACAAAAAATTTAAAATAAATGAAATGAAAAATATTTTGGTTATTTGCTAAAACAATGAAAGTTTTAAAGCTTGTTAACAGTTAGCGATTTTTAAATACCTTGCAATTTCCCACAGCATTTCAAAGAAATTTCGTATATATTTTTTTAGATTGCCAAAGTACTTGAAAATCTTAAATTTCTACTTAAGAAACTTGAAAACAATTTTCTAATACTTGTTTCAGTATTCCGAAAAATCTTTAGCTAAATCAACATTCTCTGTCATTAATTTTATTGGAAATTCATAATTTATATTTGTTATTCTTCTTTTTGTTCTGTAAAATGCAAAAACACCGATTGTCAAATTGAAAAATTGATTTAAAAAAAATATTTTCTTTGTAATAGATACAATAATTTTTGTAATTACTAACTTTGCCGATTTTCCCATTTTATTTATAGATTTAACCTAGGAAAATCCGGACGTGCTGGTTCTTTGACTGCAAATGATAAGGTGATAAAGAATGATTATCGTGTCATATGAACAGTTTTACAGAAAAAGCACACGTGGTGATTTTGACATATGCCATTAGGTTTAGATTGGTACTACTTTTAATTCTCTGAAAACAAGTAGGTATTTGGAAATTTTTGCAATTGTTTTTTGTTGCTGGTAAAGCTCTTTAAATTTTAAGTTAGAAATGCAAAGGAAACCACATTTTTAAAAATACCCAAACATTCTTCTCATTAGAAAATTACATTACACAAATATACAATAATTTTTCACTCACGTGGTAAGTAACAATAACGATTAACTGACTGTCTTGTGTATTTTTCATAAAAAAAAATAAAAAGTGACTTTTAGTTTTTGGGTGGATGAGAAAATTTTTTCAGTGTCCCTGAGATCGGAATTATAATAGATACAGAAATCAGCTTATAATTTCAAATTGCTGGATCGTGTAACTCAAGGTGTTTGAGTCACAGTAGGTGAATCATTACTATTCTGCTAATTTGAGCAATATAGACAATTTTGTACAGTTAAATGTTAGACATGACCTATTCGAAGGACGAATTAATAATTTTGAAAATTTGAGAGCTTTTAAATCATAATGAATTTTTTTCTGATTCCAAACACATATTTTTTTTTTATATAAAATTTTTATTATTTTTTAATTTTTTTTTAGGTTTTTTTTAATGTTTTTTTTTGAAAATATTTTTTTTTTTCTAATTAATAAACTTGAACCTATGCAGGACAAATTTATCACAATTTTTTTATTTTTATTCAAATAACTTATAGTTTATTTAAATTTTAATAAATATAATTTTCTTACATTTCACTATAATTCTAATACAAAAATATTTTATTTTTATTAAATTTTATTATAAGTTTACAAATATAATTATTTGTTGCGTATATATGTATGTATAATATTTTAGATTTGAATTTGTAAAATTGGAGAAAATCATACGTTATAAAAATTAAAAATTAATTAAAAAAAAATTATTTAAAAAATATGATATTTTAATTCTTAGATAAGCACCTGTTTAATTAATTAAGATAAAATATTAAGATTAGATTTAGAGAAATTTCTTTGTGCTTATTATAATTTGAAAATTTTATTTGTGAATAATTTGATAAAAGAAAATTCTAGAACGGAAAAAATGATCTAATGATTAATTTTTAGTTAAAATAATTATGCACTTGAAAATAATGTCATAATTTTGTAAATAAATATTTTTCATCAAAATTCAAATGTAAATTCAAATATAAATTAAATTCACCCAAAATTAAAATAATTTTTTTATATAAATGTTAATTATTTAAGGCAATGTGCACAATCAATTATGGAATTCTTTCAGTATTTTAAACTGAACCATTGAAAACTGCAATTGAGGCCATTTAACCTTTAGGTGTAACTTTTAAGTGCATAATTAAAATTAACATTTTGTTTTAAATATTGTTATTTCTACTATAAAAATACAAATACAATTTATTTTATTATTGTAGTACAAGTTGTAATTATATAAGGTCAAGGCTTTTTTTCGCAATTCCTTTAATTAAAGGAGGCTTATGTGACTTACACTACGTTCAATATACTAAATATTTTTTGAATAATAGATAGGAAAATTTTCTATTAATATACAGTTATGTTAATATTGAAAAACTCAAAAATTGAATAAGAAATTACAAATTTTCTTTAAAAATGCTAAAATTATCAAATTACAAAAAATTAAATTTTAGAAAGTTTACAATATTTTTTCTATCAGTATATTAAACACAGTATTTCATAAAGCCTATATGTGTACAAACTTGTTTTTCATATTATTTATTTATATATTTGTAATACAAAAATTATAGTAAAAAATTTTTTTTATGCATTATTAAAAATATAAAATAAAAATTTAATTTTTTATATTTTTTTTCTCTTTAATCACAATAAGTTTTTATATTTATAATTTCTATGAAATTTTCCAATTAACAGCCATTTTTCTTATTAAACGTATGTTTGTATAATATATTTATGTAACTACAAAGATGTTTATAACTAAAATTATAATGTATTTTTTCAATATATATATATATATGTATATGTATATATGAGAACTAATTGACGGATTTCAATTGGGTTCGATGCAAATGTGACGTTCATGTGAATAGTTCAACTTTTGAAATGTTTTCCATTTTACAGCGCTTACATCAATAAGCCAAAACTTCTTAATTAAATTCAATTTTATTAAAACTTATTTAAATTCAATTATGTACTTAAGAAATTTAACAATTTAGGTGGTTGACTACTCGAATTATGTATGTTCATTGATAATCTCATTACTTTATTTGTGTATAAAATTGGTTAGTTAATAATTAGAAAACTTGAAATCCGTCAATTCACTTTAATTTCTGAGTGAACAACAAAAACAAAATTTTTCATTCCAAATTTGAAAACAAATGTCAACAATTTTGTAGCAGAGTTTTTTTATAAGTTTTATAAAAACTTCAATAAATTATGGAAAATAACTTTTTTAAAGCTACAGATTTCATTAAAATAATTTTTCAACTAATTTAATTTAATTTAATCAATATTTGATAACAAATTTCTGTATTTCATCTTTAATTATAAAAATACAAATGGAATCGTCTAACAGACAAAAAATGAATTAAATTTTTGTTTGATTTAATCTTTAAATTTTAATTAATCTTAACTACTATAGAATAATTTTGAAATACATGCACCTTTTTATATTTTTTTGATAAAAATATTCAAGCGATTTAATTAAAATTTCAATAATTTGTTGAAACTATAAAATTGTAGATTGATAAATGTATTTTTATACCGTCTGCCACAATGTGAACTCAAAATATTTTCTATTTTCTTCAAATTAAGTAAAATTCATTGAATATTTAACAAATTTAACGAATATTTAACGAATTTAACGAATATTAAGCGAAATCTTTCATTTTTTTCAAAAAGATAATTTTAATATAATTGATACACATATACATACAACATATTTATATACATATATGTTAATTAATCTTAAATTTTAAGAATCACAGTCTGTATTGAAAGAGAGCAAACTGATTGATTAATATTTTCAAATTTTTACGTCATTCTTATATTTTAGTTTGTTCTACTTTTTTTCATAACAAATTTATAATTACAAATTCAATTAATAATTTTTTTTTTTAAAAATTAAATAAAAAAAAAATTACCATATAATATACATACATACAATAATTTATTAAATCACTGAAAATAGTTTTTTTTTTTTTAACAACAAAATATTCTACAATTTAAAGGGTCAAAGAATTGAAGGGAAAATGGAAATAAATTTAATTTTTTACTATTTTTTTCAATCATAATTATTAAAGTGATTAATTTGCAAAACTGAAATTTTGTATTTATGGTGATTAAGAAACTTAGACAATTTTTCAAATTATTTTTTTTTCTTCCTTTTCATTTCAAGTTTACAATATTTCGAAATTATCAATGAGTTCATAAATGTGAATCAATTCATGTATAATATTGTGTAGCTGGTAGCCTTAACAATTTTAAAATTTTGTATTTAAAGTAAATGGAATCACAAGAAAATTAGCTTGTGGCACTGGATTTGCATTATTGGATTCCAATTTTATAATATTTTCTGATTCTCTCATAGGAAACTTTCTCCCATCTTGGAACTCAACTATTTGGATTTGGATGGAATCGTATATTATAGCAAAATTGTAATGGAGAAAGAAAAATACGTTTCTTTTCCTTCTCTAATAACTAATTAATTTTTTTAAAAATGTTCCAATGAAACAATAAATTTTAATACATAAATTTTACAAAGGCCATAATAATTAAATATTAAATTAAAATTGTTAAACATGAAATGAATTTGAAAAACTCAGACACATTTATTTCTTGAATATGAAAAATTGCCCAATTGAAAATTCATTTAGAAATTTAACATGCTTAATAGCTAGGCTACAGATAATTTTTATTTTTTTTAAAAGATTCATTTCAAAATAGTTATAGAATAGAAAACTTATTTAATTCTTAAAATCAATTTATTTAATTTATAATTATTTTTTTTTAATTCTTTTTTATATAATAGCATATATATATATATAGAGCTCCCCAAAAAAAGAGGGAACTTTTCTAGTTTTTTGTTTTCTTTATATTTTTAATTTTAAATCATTTGGTCCAATCATTTTTAACTTAAATACTACAATTATTTAATTTATTTAATTATTTTTTTTCTTTCATTTTTTTTTAAGAAAATATTTTAAATGTTAGTTAACTTAAATTTATCAAAAATATACAAATTTTTTATTTTATAATAATTAATATAATTCGATATTAAATTCATAGTATACATAGATTATATTTATATGCATATATACATACTTATGTATATATACATACAACATAAAATATGTATGAATTATAATTATATTTAATCTTGTTTTCCTGATCCAAATGTTTCAGCGAATTCTTCAATACTAACATAGGTACCAGTTATGAAACCAATAATACCAAATACTACAAGGAATCCATTTTTATATAATCTCCAATTAAAACGTCCATGACCGGGATCTTCACGATAAACAACTGTTTCAACAATTGCTGGTATCATAACACCCAATGAACTTAAACAGACAGCACCAATAAGTGTAATAAATGGACCTAAGTTTGGTAAAGCAGCAGCAATAACAACAGTTAAAATCTAAAATTTAAAAATACCGTTAATTATTTGATAAAATATAAGATTTGATTGTAAATTTTATAAATTTGTAACTGTTATACTTACAACCATCAATGTTCTTAAAACAAGTTCACCACGAACATGATTGTCTGGTGAAAATTTATGTTTGATTCCTTTCCATATAATTTGAATTGGAACATAAAATTGTAATGTGTATGTTAGGAAAATTGCAATTGCAATCATAATTTTAACAGATTGTGCAAGTCTAGAAGAAATTAAAAGAAAAAACGAAAATTATATTAATTTTTGTTAAATCTTTTATGAAAAATAGTAACTTACATATCTTCAATTGGTAAATTTAATGTAATACTGCCTTTAGTTTCATTACCATATTTCAAATAACCAAAGAAGCCAACTAATGTATATGATGCAATAACTGTGCCCATACCAATATTTAAAACACTTGGACAACCAATAAAATGTTTTGGATTTTTCATATCATTTTCTAATGACATAACTACACCAATACCTTCTAATGCAAATATAACTGTACCAAAGAACATTGGCCAATGTGTTGGTCCAACAATACCAGGAACTGAATTTGTTGGTGGCAAATCCAAGAATATATAATACATTGTTATAACAATAGCAATAAACATTATAACATTTGCAACAAATGAAAATGGTGCCAAATATTTTAAATTTCTAATTAAACATACAAGCATTAATGGCACTAATAATGCTAATATAACCAATCTAATATTGACATGTGATTGTAAATAATGATCAAGAACTTGTTGTAAATTTGTTGCTATAAAAACTAAATATATACAACAGCAACCAATTAAATCCAATACTAAAAATGTATCAACAATAAATCTCATAAAACGTGACCATTTCTGTAATGATGGTGGTCCATCCAAGAATGCATTCTCAACAACATCAGCAAAACTTAATGCAGGTATTTGTCTTCTACGACATAATATATGGGCACATTTAACCAGCAAATGTACACAATACGTGCATGTTAAACCAACAAATAATGTTGCAAATAATCCAAACCATAATCCAGAATTTGAAAATGCCAATGGCATAGCCAATATACCGGAACCAAGTGATCCTTTCAGCAGATGTACCAACGTTTCGAAATCCCTGAAAATTTCAAAAAAACAAAAAAGTTTGTTAATTTTTATGCTAAATTTTTTTTTATATTTTTTTAATTTTAGAAATAATGCAGTTTTAAACAAAATATAAGATTTCATTGTTTTTATAATGAGTCTAAATAATAAGACTTATAAATCTAAATAAAATCTAAACCTAGACCGTAATATATTTAAAATGAGGAGACTGGAATTTTTACTACAAAATTATTTTTGATTTGAGGAAATTATTGTGGAAACAAAATGTAAATTACAATTTTTTTTTTTGTTTTTAAAATTTTTTATGATATTTTTATGTTGGTACGCCTTTTTGGTTTTAAAACCGCCTTGTAATCATATTGTTTGTATGAAAATTCAAATTAAAAATTTATTTATTATAAATTCCGTTATATGTGACACTCAACTATGACATTTTTAATTCTCTTGGTAACACTATGAATCGTTTTATCAGTTGTTTACATAGCAGTAAGGACAAATACTTGAACGGAAAGGTTTTCAATTTAAAAAAAAATTGCATATCATGCGGCAAAAACTATTATGCATTGAAAAGGAAAGTAAGCCCGCTTCTTCCTCACTTACCATCCTATCCCTCTTAAACTTCATTTTTTTTTTGCTTTGAATCGCTGTAGCGTCCATAATACCAATAAAAGCTGAATAATAATATGACATCATCAATTACAATTTGTGTATGTATGTATGTATATAAAATTTTGCGAAGTAAATATTGATTACATATTATGTATAGTCTATGGACTTGAAAATAATTAGCCAAAATTTTCTATTTCTGTTCTAATCGCAAAAAAAAATTTATGTATTAAAATTGTTGCCAAAAATTTAAAAAGAAAATCAAAAAACTTGTATTTTTTAGCATCCACCCAAGTTCATGGTTTTAAGGAACAAGAAAAAATCATTAAAAGGCAAAATAAAGCAGGAAATTTTCTTTTTTAATTTAGAAAACATTTCTAAAACAAAAAAAATTACATATGTATGTAGATTGTATACGCATTTAAAAATAAAAATAAATAAAATGTTCACTTAAGAAATAAATATAAATAACGCTTGATTATATAGACGTAAATCGCGACGAAAAAAAAACGCAGAAGGTCATCATTTAAAACAAGATAGAGAAATGAGCAAATCGCACCAAATAAATTTCAAAAAAATAAAAAAATAAAAATTAAAAATAGTTTACCTAGTTTATTATTGTTTGTATATGTGTTTGTGTGCGTTCATAAGTATTTTTGTTATTTTAGAATATAAAATGAAATTGTAATTAGAATAAATGTCAAAATATATAAAGTTCGAGGCCGTACAAAATATAGATGTGACTAAAATTCCAAAAATGTATAAGACGTATGTATGTACATTTGAAAGTTTGTGTTATCCACTAAAAGCAAATAAAATTGAAAAATTTCAAAATTTTGAAAAATTAAAAATTGGAAACTGAATGGACTGTACATGAAAATATATTGGCATTCGAAATCAAAAATAGATCGATTTCAAGATTTTCAGCAAGAGATCAGCACACATTGAAAATAGAAAAACAAATTATTTTGATTTATTCTGAGAATTTTAGCGATTTAAGTATAAATTTCAAGTAAATCCATTCGTTTTTTAACTTAACTTAGATATTAATTTTCATGCAAATCATGAAACTGGAACATATGCACATATAAATGCGCTGACAAACCAACACCCTATTACATTTTTTTTTTCTTGAATGGAGAAGGATATTTCTATTGAAAAATTGACATGTGAAATATGATGCGATCACAATGCCTTTATTATTGAATTATGAAAAATTACGTTTTGCATCTAATTTTCGTGGCAACTTGTTAATAAGGTTTGATATTCAAACTGAATTATTTTATTCCAATTCAATTAACTAAGAAACTTAGGATTTTGTTTTTTGTACAACTACATAATTAAAATATTTAATAAAAATTTTTAAAATTGATGTTTAATCTACTTGTATAGTTCTTTCGAGTTTCTGTAATAATAAATTTAATTTAATTAATATCATTCCTTTATTAATCATTGATCTCTGAGGAGCAAGGAATCCAAATGTTTTCGTTGGTAGATTTCTATTATTTTTCTCTTTTATTTGTTCAACTACGCACTTTTAACTTTCATCAACATTTGGCCTTAGGGAAAATTAAGAATATTGGTCATTTTAAGTTCTAAACGTGGAAAAATAGTGTCCGAAGAATTTATTCCTAATTAAATTTTACCGTTATAATAATTTTATTTTAGTTTTATATTGAAACTGACCTAAGTTTTTTCAGCAGTGGCACTTTTTATTAAAACAAATAATATAAATTTCTTTCAAAATTGTAAATAGGGAAAACTCAGAATGCAGTGCAATCGAATCACTCTAAGCCTTTTATACTTATTTAAATTGAAAATTGTTATGAATAAAAACGCATTTCGCAATCCATACTGCTTTTTAAATTTTTACTTTTATCTCCATGCTATTTAATATTTTTCAATAAAAAATTCAAATGTTTATGTGAATTTTAAAACACTTAATGAACTAGTCACTAAGGCAAACAAACATTTCTTAAAATTAAATAACTGTAAAAAAATATAAAAATTTCAAATATTCCCGTCCTTGTGTATTGTCAAAATTCGTTCTTTGAATATCCAAAAAAACCCATCCGGAAAAATCATAAGATTAATAAAAACCTGATCAAATTTTATCAACACAAGAACCCGATTGATTGAAGTCGTTCGTAAGATATTTTGAAAAATTTTACATTTGTTTTAATTATACACGTAATATTTAAACAAACACTTGCTTTGAATGGATCCAGAAGATTTCACATATGTGATTTCAAAAATTCCGGGATTCATTTTTTGATACAAATGGAATTCCACATTTTAACTATACAAAATTTTTTACTTTACCCTACATTTTTAATTTACTTGATGAAAAATCGTTCTAATTATTATTTGTATGAAAAATAAATTAAATTTTGTTAAAATCAAAAATTATTTAAAATAAAAAACTTCAATCAAAAATTTTTAATGTTTTCCATATTAGCAATCTTTTTCGCTAATTACGCGCGCCGCATCTCTATTTATTATTTTTCTATAAAAGTTTAATTACCTATATATGTACAACGTGTTATAAAATTACAAAATTATTTAAAAAAAAAATTTAATTTTCTTTTAAAAATTAATTAAAAAAAAAAAACGCACATCTGAGGCGTCATTCACTCTTGTTAAGTAAAATTTCATAAGAAAAAAAATTAAAATAAACTTTTAGTCAAATAATTTTAAAAATGAGCATAAAAACATTTTGTTCTATTTTTAAAATAAATAATTAAAAGAATTTATGAAAAAATATTAAAATATTTTGTACCTCACTCTTGAATTTTAATGAAATTTTATTAATTTTATTTTTCAACTGCATTATTTGAATTGTTTAAAATTAAAGATTAAAAAAAAAATTATCAACTTACGATGTTGGATGTTCAACTTTACGATTCGCAAACGGATCATAATTATCTGTATCCGGTTGGATGCGTTTCTTTGATGATACTAAAGGTAATGTTGATCCTGCCGCTTGTTGTGCTACTATGTCCAAATCACTTTGAAATCTGTTCAATTCAAACATAATTTGAATTTTTTTTTTTATTTTTTTTTCTTACTTTTTACTTAATTTTTAATATTACACTTATTGTTTAAATTTCATATATTTTTATTTCATTTAATTAAAATAATTGAAAAAAAAAATATTTATAAATTTTATAATAAGTGTTTTTTTTTTATTTTTTTTTCTAGTTTTTATTTTCGGAATAAAATAAAAATAAATAAAGATAATTAAAAAAATATTCACGTACTTTCCGTATGTAATACTTGTTTGATTCTTAGAGCCGTTCTGTTTCTCCGGATCATGTTTTGTGATCACTGCTGGTATTCTCTGTAGAGGAAAAAAAAGAAAAACAAAAAAAATTAAATAAAATATTTAACGACCAAAAAGAAAAAAAATTTAGTCAACAAAAATGTTACCGTAAAATAAAAAAAAAATCTTTATAACGGTAAAAATGTGTGCGTGTGTGTATGTAGGCTGCGTACGTACAACAAACACTTAATAAAAAAATATTTTTTCTTTTCTTTTTTCGTTTTCCTTTTTATTGTTTTGTGAAAATCTGAGAGGAAAAACTTTTTTTTTTATTTTTTTTTCTCTTTATTTTATTAATTTTAAATATATTTTTAACATAACGAAAGCTTGCGTGTGTGTATGTGTTTGTATGTTTATAATTTTGAAAAAAAAAAATTTATATGTAAACATAAAAAATTCAGTTTGAAAAAACAAAAATAGCAGAAAAGCTTGCAAGTTGAACGCATTTAAATTTTAATTTTTTTTAGAATTCAAAGAAAAAAAAAAACAAACTAATAAATAAAAAAAAGTTCGAACACTAGAAGAAGAGCAAACAATGTTGGAAAAAATGTTTACCGTTATCTTAATAACAGTATTAATTTTTCTTAATAAAATTTATTCAAATACAAGGCATAAATCATTTTTCTCTGACTTTAAGGCTCAGGCAGACATGCAATTTTTAGTTTTGCAACTGTTTGATTGCTTATTTGTATTCCGTAGGTCTATATTTAAAAACGTGCGCACATGCAACTGTATGATCAAATGCAATTAAGCAATCAAACAGTTTGTAATTTTTTACAAATTAATTGCAATTTTTAGTTAACGCAATTGAATTGACACAATAGTTTAGTTGCTTAGATGTGGGTGCAGCCATTTTACAATCAGCAGTAATCGCAAAACTAAAAATTGCATGTCTGTCTGAGCACTTATTTTGCAATATTGAAAATTTCAACAAAATTCTAGTAGTTTCCTTTTTCATAATTTGCATAATTCTTCAAATTTTTATAAAAGAGTAGCATAGCATGGTATGGTAAAAGGAAAAATTAAACGATTCAAATTACAAAATTTTTAGTTAGGCAAGTGACATATGTATAGCTATCACGGCTCTATATTATGATTTTATAATTGCATCCATTACATCTTTTATTGCATTTACAGTGGAGTTGAGTTAAATTTTACATTTACAGGGAAAATTTTGTTGTATACTTGGAATTTTTGGTTGTATATAACAATATTTCTATTTACTGTCCGCGTACTACAGTTTGAGTTGAATTAAACAATTTGAATTTTTAAAAATTTTTGTAAATGATCACATGATTTCGCCTAATCGACGTTTAAATTAGAGCTAGCATTCAATAAAATTATTCGCAAAAATCATATTTCTTTTTGTGTTGTGACACAAATTTTTCATTTGCACAACATTTTTATTTATGTTTACAATAAGGAATGCTTTGGAGGTTATGTTAATAGCCTTTCAGCCATTTATTATTCTAATATACATGTTATACATACATAATATATAAAATATTCATTTCATTTCAATTTTTTGTCATTATTTCAACTCTTTACCGTTTTTCCATTTGTTTACGTTCATTTGCACTAATAAGAATCTATTCAATTAAAAGAAGCATAGAAATTTTGAATTGTGACAATCATACAATATTATAGACGATAAAAAGTAAATTAAAACAAATGTTATTGTAGGTCGACATCGTATCCTTGACTGTTATGTCAAATTTTTCGAGTATTTGCAAAAATTTTAAATATTAATCAAATATAGAAAATTTACAAGATTTACGACTTCATGATTTTTAGCACTTTTCTAAAAGTCAATAAGGCAAGGGGGAACAACCGAAATTTATTTAAAAACAAAAAATTTAAATGTACTTTGTTTCATTTTTAAAAGTTATTTAAGTAAAATGTTTGTATATACAAAAGATAAATTTAAAATAGAAAAAAAAATAAATAAATAACAAATAAAGTATAAAATAATTTAAGAAAAAAAAATTTTTTTAAATAACATAAAGCAGACATAAAAATTTTTTGGCAAAAATTATTTGAAAATTTTTCATATTTAAATTTGACAAAAAGTCGAAATTTTTTCAGTATAGCGTCACAAAACTCGCCTTTCTCTCCTTTATTTTTTTTTTGTTTCTTACTTCTTTTTTTTAATTACCGAATGGAAAATTTTAAAATTTATCATCCTTTTTTTTTTAAAAAAACATATTATTTTTTTTTATACCAGTTTATTTTTGTTATACACCGCTTATGTATTAAAAAATTATTTTTGAAAATGCGTCAGAAAGCAAAAAAAAACATACGGTTCCGATTTTTTAACAGAAAATATAAATGAATTATGCTGACCTGCTGAAAAACGTGCGCGAAATTTATTAAAAAAAAAATAAAATTTTTATTGGTTTTTTTTGCTTCTTAGAACGACATTTGTTTTCCTTCATCAAACACTTGTACGAAACATTATTAATTGCGAATGATTAAATTGTAATTGATTTATAAAAGAGAGAAGAATTTGTTTATATAAAATTTGATTTTGATTTTGAATAAAATTTGAAATTCTCAGAATTGCAAAATTTTTTGACTAATTTTTAAGATATAAAATTTTCTTTTTGAATTCAATTTGCTAACAATTAATTCTTAAATAATTTTGCAAATGTTGTCAATACTAACACAAGTTTTTACAAGGAAACGTCGCTAGATGGGAAATTTTTATTTATTTCACTCTTATTTCTTCTTTACGTTCACATAACTTGGTGGGAAAGCAAGGAAACAACACATGGTTTCAAGAAGTAAATTAGGAAACAATTGTTTCTCCAATTCCTTAGTATATTCCAAGCACTATACATAGTATAATAGTTTTGGTTGAAATTATAATAAATATAAAAAAAAAGTAATTATTCCGAATTTTGTTTACATTTCTTCCTCTTTTATTTACTCCGAATATCTAAACAAAAAATCAATTAGCATTTAAATAAAATCAATTCATAAAATCAATTATTTAAATAGAAATTAAGCTATTCACCTTCATTCGCACGCAGAGGATGCAGATCAACACATTATTATTCGTCTTATATTAATATTTATGTGAAATTCGCCGCAATTTATGCAATTTTTTGAATTTCATGTTTTCAGTATTGTTTTATGATTTTAATTTGGGCAAGAATATTTTAAAATTTATTTTACAAATAAAAACGTAATGGTCTTATAATTAATAAATAAAAATTTAAATAAACAATCGAAAAATATTCCAAAAATTGAATATGTTTTAAAAAAAAGGAAGAGATAGAATTCCAACAATTAATTTTGTTTAATAAAGAAAAATTCAAATTTTAGAGAAAAAGCATGTAAAAAAATTAAATTAATTTTTTACTTTTTGTTTGACATTTAAAAAATATACGAAAATTGGTGTACTTTCATACAATCTACATTGTTTTTTTTTCCATAATGGCTAAAATAGCGCCCCAATGACACTTATTTATAAAGATAATTGAATAATTTTAGCCAAAAATATAAAATTTATTTTTAAAATTTTTATTTTGTTTTTTCTCTTTTTCTTTTTATCAAAAGAATACAAAAACGTATTTTGTATTTTTATTGCATATTTGAAATGGAACAGTGATTTCCAAAATTGATTTGGCTTCGTTAATTTTATCCAGTGTGTCAGGTGGATATGAGATTGCAAAATTTTATGCGAGAATGTGTAACATTAATTGTAAAAATATAATTGTCTGCTGCTTAAACTAGCAATAGGATTTTCCAATTTGTTTTGCATTTACTACAGATATAATTTGTAATCTGGAATTATTTATAAGTTATGTTTGTAAAAAAGACTCGGAGATTGAGAATTAGGGAGCTTGGCATACGCAATATTTTAACTATCAAACGAGATAATTGATATTGAATTCATTATTAAAATTTTATAAAAATAATTGCTATGTGCTTCATCTTCTGATATCGCAATTTGAATATTTCACACTTTTTAATTGTCAATAATAATCAAATGTTCTAGGGTGTAATATTTCGCTTTTATATGATCAAAAACAATCAAAAATTTATAAATTCTATTCTATGTTATCTATTAAAATTAAATAAATTTTTGATAAAGTAATTATAAAGGATAATCTGAATAATCTGAACAAAATAATTCTGATATTTTTAAATAATTTTTAAAGTTTTAATAAATTTTGTTCAATATTCGACTATAGTGTTCAAGGTCATGCCACCTGAAGATCTTCTTTTTCAATTTATGAATTTCGTTTTGAAAATGACCACTACAATATTTACATACAAAATATTATGTTTTGTGAAAATTATTTTAAAAATATTTTCTCAAAATGAATAATAAATTCATTTTATTTCAATATATACATACATAAGTAAATATTAAGGCAATGGGGAGCGAAAATTTATAACATATTAATTTTTTGTCCGATAATTTGAAAAATTAATTTTTTTTTTTTTTTGAATTATTTTCATTCAACTTATTGTGTAGTACTATTAATAGACCACTTGTTATTCTATATCAATTCTGTATTATGTACAATAATATTATTTATTTATATTTGAATTTTTTTTCTTTATTAATATTATAAAAATATTTGTATTGTACATACAATTGTGCCTATATACAAGTATTTCAAATATTCTTATTTTTGCTTGTATTTATGTGTATTGTACATAATATTTTCTTATGAAAATTTTTAATATTACATAATGTAATAAGTTCGTTGTTCTATATGAATATATAAAAACAAAATGAAGAGAAAAACTAAAAAAAAAATAAGAAAAAAAATGAAACAAAAAATCTTTCTATTCCCAATTTCTTCAGTAGATAAACAAAAAAATTTTTGAAAATAATGACGTCACTGAGGAAAATTCAATATTTTTCAATCAAAAGAAGATTTTTTTTTTATAATTAATGACGTTTCCAATACATTAACGGAACCGGTACACATCCACATATTATGTATACTAAATTTTACACTCATATTCTCAAAATACACTCACACTTACGCATGTATTTGTAAAAAATTCATGTAATTATAAAATTTTAAGCTTTTCGAATTTTTTTGAGAAAAAAAATTTTCTTTGTGTTTACTCTAAGATTGAAAAATTTTCTATAAAAAAAATATTTTTATTTTAAAAACACTACATACATACATACAAACAATGTGATTTAATGAAAATTTATGTGTAACTAATTTTGATATTTGATAGATAAAAAGTTTGATAAAACAGAGGCGCTGTTCATTTTATTTACAAGAAAAATGTTCTCCTGTTTGTTAAGGGGTGTGTGCGCATGTGTTTTGTTAATTATAATTATAAATATATAATTTTAAAATAATTAATCAAGATCATGGTTATTTTGTAAATAAAATTTAAAAAAAACCAATTTTTTACTTTTGAAGATTTTTTTTTCCTATTCTATATGCCAAACTCTAAAAACCTTATTGCATGCAATAAATTTATGCATAATGTAATTTTTAATTTAAATGTTATTTTTATTACCTAGTGGTAGGTAATTAAGTAATTTTAATTAGGTATGTGAACATTGTGTCTCAGTAATTTGAATAATATTTATAATTTTAATAGTATATTGCTCTTGAAATAATAATTAAGATATTCGGATGACGCAAATTGCTAGATAATGAACGAAATAACAATTTACTCGTAAATCAAAGGGAAAAAAATTTAATATTTCAAACAGTTCACTTAAGAATCCATTTTTGTTCATGCCTTTTCTGTCTACAAATGGCAGTGGATTTTAAGACAATAAAACTAAAAAAGTAAAATATACAGCATTTGCATAAATTTGTGAGAATGTGTAAAAAGATTTCAAAGATTATTGCGAATTTTAAAACTTTCAGGGCATACTTAAATTTATTCAAAATCACAAATCCACATAGATATTTTTTTATAATTAAAGAAATTTTCTAATAATATAAAATAAAAATTAAAAAATTTTAAATGCGAGGGCTAGAAATCGCAAATAAATTTGTTAAATAAATTAAAAAATGCTCAAATAGGATTATTGTTATTTCCAAACATTTAATTTATTATTTAATAACAAAAATACTTCATTAAATTTTAATTATTTTGAATTTAAAACAAAATTTAATTCTGATATTTTTATACTTTTGCTCATACTTATGTACGCCAAAAAGACATTTCGTAAAAAAATACTAAAAATTTAAGCGCAAATAATAAAAATTATGATGCTTACATAATCAGAGTACATAAAATTTTTTTTCTAAAATAGCTATTCATATTTTAAAAAAATTTCATTAAAAAGACATTTGGACATGTGTAGATTAACAAAAAAAGACAAGAAATTTGTTTCCTAATGACGTTAAAATTGTGATTTATGCAAAATAAGCGAAAATTAATTTAAGTTTTAAAAATAAAAATAATTTTTGATTTTTTTATATTTAAATTTTGCCTCTAGAATTTGTGCTATCAAATTTTAACTTTCAAATTATTGGACACTTACACTAGCCCTACATAAAAGATTTGTGTGAATATCCTATTTCTATTTAGCTTATTTGAATTAAATTTTGTAATTAACTGCAGTCATATCAAAAAATTAAAGGGTAGCTAGTTTTACACAATTAATTATAAAACATTTTCCCTGAAAATATGCAATTAATTTCGTATTAAGAAATATTAATAATAAAATTAGTTACAAGACTCATAACAGTTTTAAGTCTGTGGATGGAAGTAGACAGTTCTAAAACACTTCAAAACTTGTAAAGAAATTTCCCAAAATTTTCACAATCCTATGTACAATACTTTATGTATTTTCTTCTTTAGGAAAAAAAATTAAATAATTATTTTCATAAGAAGTCAAGGTTAGAAGACAAAATATTTGTTTTCTTTAATTTTCATAAAAACATGAAATTATTTTGCCAATAGGAACAGGAAACACTAAAATTTTTTATGTTCTTATTTTTATTTTCTGCTTTATTCAATAAATAAAAGAAAATTTTCGTCTGTCTTATTAAAGTTGAACGAATCAAATGAATTAGAAATGTTTAATAATCTCTGATATTAATTGTTTATGTAGAAAATTTTTTTTTATAATTATCTAATTAGATTCGGTAATTAAAATAATTTTTAATTCATGAATTAAGGAATAAATAAAATAACAATGTACGATTTATTTTATGCGTCCAATAGCGCATAACATTGACGAGTTGAACAAATTATTAAATGAAAACCGGGTCTAAATATTTTAAAAATTTAAAGATTTCAATGTTCAATCAGTTCAAATTGCTAGGATTAAATTGAAGACCGGAAATAAATTAATTCGAAGATAAGATATTTTTCTGACCCCAGGACATCCAAAATGGAAAAATTGTCCAAATAAATAAAAATGAAAACTCAATTAATTTGAAAAAGGATTTTTTTAAGCCGATTACGTTCACTGCTCTCTCGGGATTAATAAAGGTTGGATTAAAATTTTTTTAATTATGGCAATTTTTTGCAGAAAATAAATAAAAAAATATGAAAATGTTTTAAAAAAGAATTTTATATATTTTTTTTCAGTTATTTTATGAGTCAATTGCAAAAAAAATTTTATGACGGATAACATGTAAAATGGAATTTTCCAAGTTATTTCCCAGTTAATTCAGAAAAAAATAAGAGATCAAAATTTTTAATAAATCAAAAGAAATTACAAAAAAAAAATTATTTATTTAACCTTGAAACACAAAATATGAAAAAGTGTGAACCAAGAATTCGAAAGTTTCGTTGAACCTAAAATTTTTTTATAAACATTTTATTTTTTTTTTTATGTGATTAATGTTACTTTACAGAAATACAAAATGATGTATTCTTTAAGATTTTATTTATGTAGGCACAACTGTGTTTATGAATTTTTAATCAGACTGTAAAATTTGGAAAAAAAAATCCATTTAGCTATTCTATTAAAAATTCCATAATTTTGAAATTTTTATGGAAATTTTCGCGACCTTGCGGAAAATGAATACGGTCTTGATGCGGGTGATGCAATGATCGATTTTTATTAAATTTTATGACATTGAAGAATTGCCAAACCTAAAATGAGAAAGCAACCAATATAAATAGTTTTGAGTAATATAAAGAAAAGCTGATTTGGGGTATTGCAAGCTTCAATTTTTTAGATAATTTTATTTTCCCAAAATGAAAGCTGTGTCTTAATTTAAAAAAATCTGAATTAAGTAGAAAAATGTCAAAAAATTTGTATGATGACTGAAATCTGAAGTACACTTATTAAGTCAAATAAAAAATTGAAATTTCTGCGGTTTAAAGTAAAAACGTCCTAAGTCGGAAAATTCTGTTTTAAGTTCAAAATTAATTAATCAATTAAAAATTGTATTCAAGTAGATTAAATAATTCCATTATGTCTTAGGAACTGAATTGGAATTTGCAATAAATTTCAAGAAAATCTATTTTGATTTGATATTTTCGATCAAATATTTCGGAACCAACTAAAGATTACCTATATTTTTAGGTTACCTATGAAGTGAATCAAATTTTAAAAGATTTGGCTTAGGCAGTTTTCGCTTTAACTACAGATTAATTACAATATGTTTAAAATTTAAGGATTAAATTCAAATTGTTATTCAAATTGTTATCATTTCAATTTTTTAGGAAACTTGTGTAATTTCATCAAGCAAAAGACGATTTTTTGTTTCAAAATTAGCAATAAAAAAAAAAACCCATATTAAATACGAATACACACCAAAAACATAAAACTTGTTATACGTATCACTTCTATGTTCACATAAAACTATCTTTAAGGATACGCACATACACACACACAATTTTCGTGATGATAATAATAACCTTATCCGCATCACCAACATTAATATTATCCGTTAGAGCTGTTTCAGTTTTAATTAGTTCTAGTGGGGTAGCTGACATTTTTCCAGATTTTTATTAAATATTTTTCAAAAATATTGAAAATTAAATTTAAATTAAATAAAAATTTTTATTTCCCTATTTTGAGTATTCTTGTTTTTTTTTTTTTTGTTATCTTTTCTTTTTTTGTATAACTTTTAATTAATTAAGCAATTTACGTAATGCTTATGTAATATTCTCATAATTAATTATTTTTTATTATTTATTTATGTTTTTAATTATTTTATAAATGATTTTAATTTTATATACGATTTCATAGATATTTTTTTTTATTTTTTAATTTTTATTTTGAAAATTTTATTCATAAAACCAAAGCGAACCGATCACTTTTTTTTTATAAGAAAATCATGCAAAACCGAAAAAAAAAATTAAAAAGGATTCGTTCCATTCAATGATTTTCAATGTTATAAGATACACATTTAGATTTTTCTTCCGGTAATCCTGACCTCAACTAATAGATTTTCAGAAAACTACTAAAAATCTAATCCAAAATTTTATGCAAACTTTGCCAAAACTAAGACCAATGTACATAATATTTGTAAATAAGTATTTATGATCATCAATATAACAAAAAATGCAAATTATCTATTATACAATATAGATATAACAGTTTGTTTTGGTATCTGACGAACATAAATAAATAAAAATATTACAAATTACAAAAAATAAAACTATTTAATTTAAATTTCAAGTGAAATGCATAAAAATTATGCCAAATCGTGTATGTATGTATGAATATGCAAATTATATCGTACATCAAGTGCAAGTATTAACAATACATTTATACATACAAAATAATTTATTTTCGTGTGTATGTACGTACATATTATTATTATTTAAATTTCAAATTGTAAATGACCCCCCCTGGCGTTATGATCATGTAATAATGAACTAGAACTAAACTAAATTTAAAAAATTGTTTTCATAGTACAATTGCAAATACATTCGCTGTACATAAATACCGTTTTTTTTTTTCTAAATTAAATTTATTTAAATTAAGAATAAAGAAAATAAAATATAAAATTTGAATTTATAAAACGGAATATAAATTTATGTAATGTAATCACAATTAGAACCGTTATAAATTTTAAGTACATAAAATAAAGAAAGCGAGGGAAAAAACAACCGATTGCAATTTATATTATGAGATTCAGAGTTACCATTTAACTTCAATTTATTCAAAAAATATGCTTATAATTTTAAACTATAAAGTTAGTACCATTTTTTAATTTTGTTCAAGTACAATATTGTATAAAATTGACTTTAACCCTTAAATGTGGGATATGCCGCATTTAATACAAACCGAGTTCTATTAAAATTTCAAATCGAAATTTTGTTATATTAGAGTACTTAATTAGGAAAACCAACGGGTAGATGATAATTTTTGTATGACATAAATCATTATAGCATTAAAAAATTTTTCAAAAAAATTATATGAAAATTTGATTGATAAGCCAATGATTTGGGATTTAGATCAAAATACGTCCCAAGTCGGTTCGGAAATGGAGATCGGGCAAAGTAATGTCTGAATATTTATAAAACTAAATGAGATAGCGAAAAACACATTTCAAATTTTGGAAGATCATCCTCGAAACCTAAATTGCATTTAGGCGATGAAATGTCAGATACAAATAAAGTAAGGTAAGGAAGTAAAGTAATTGGAATTACTAAGGGGTATGCTATTATTTGAGTTTTGAAATTTGAGTTTTCAAAATTACATATCTAATTTAATTTCATTTTAATGGCGACATTTTCAATTCTTTATAATAAAAACAACTTTATTTAAAATTATAAATTTTCCGATTTGAATTCAAGAAATTAAAGTTCCCCGAATAAACAATATTTCTTTATACCGAAGCCACACAGAACTATTTAAGAAAAAGGTCACTATAAGAAATTAAAAAGTTGTGCCTTTTAGGGTTAACAATTTCCATTTACATGTATGTATAAGATTTCTCAAAATTTTCTACCTTAATGTGACAAGATATTTAAATAAGAAATTTTACACATACTTGAATTACTTAATAATTTAAATTATAACACATATGTAATTTCAATTGAATAATTTAATTTTATAAGAAGAACATGAAATTTATATTTAGTACAATATATTTTTATAGAATTAAAATATTATTCTTGATTCTGTATTATTTAAATATTAAAATAAATAAGATCTGAGACCGGAAATTAATTTAAATTTTAAGAGTGTAAGCACTACTTTCAACGGTAATGTTTCAGGATGCTATAACTTTGTATTGTTCCAGTTTAAATTAAAAAAATATCAGTATATCGATGTTTGAACAAAAAATCGGTTCAAAATAATTATTTTATATTAAACAATAAGCTAAACTCTGTGCTTTTCATTTTTGCTTTTTGAAATTGTAGAGAAAATGGGACAATTCTCTTGTTCTTAATTATTTATAATAACCAAATTTGAAATATACTTGAATTTTATTATCCTCTAATAGTCCAATAACTAACAAAACATTAAATTTAATAGAGATTTATCACATATTCTGTATCTTTAAAAATATTATAATTTAAGAGAGCAATGAATTAAATTAATCGTAAGTAGCAACTCATATTTTGCACAATATAAAAATTGGTAACCCTGAAAATACTTGTACACTCACTCACTAAGTATAATGCATATTTTGTCTCTCATTCTGATCACTTCTTCTACATTTGCTAGTATCAAATCCAACATTTTGTTTTTTAATACAGTCGCAATTCTATTATTCTTTTATTCAATTTAAAATTTATTTTTATATAAAATACTTATTTTTTACATTGAAATTTATCTATATCTTTCTTTGTCTCTCTTACATATACATTTTATATGTTTTATTTCTCTTGCAAATCATACAAATTAAATAAAATTTATATTAAATAGTTTAAATTCAAGGTGAATATCATTCACTTATTTTGTATTATTATTCAACTGTATAGTGAATTTATACAATATAACGGTGAAATTTGTACATAAAACAAAAACAGAAAAAAAAAGAAATTGCTAAATTGAGTGATGATTTGGAATTTTGTATCAATTTTGAATTTATTTATTGCAAAAAAAAAATTTATTTTATAGAGCTAAAAATATTTAATGAAAAAAAACCTATAAGCAAATCAATTACAATAAAATTCGATGAGTGATCACAATTTCATTGTGTGAAAATTGAATGGTGATCGTTGATCATTCAAAATGATAATGATTGATTGATTTAATTGAATAAAATTCGAAAGTGATTGTTATTCAACTTTGTCGTCTTAAACAAAAATAGTCCAATTCCTTTTCATTCAATTTATATGAATTTCACTTAGCAATTAAAAATTAAGTCATAAATTAGTAACAATCAATAAATCAGCAGTTTTGGATCAATCATACAAAACTTGGTGTCATGATAATTTTTATTCAGTGTATGTTTGCTTATTTTACCCTTCCATATTTTAAACAGATGCTTAATATTTAAATTTATTGGTCAGTTAATACTGCTATGTAGCAAGATTTGATTAGAAAAAAATTTCTCTATTCACAAACTGATCCCAACCCTTCGAGTAGTTTCAATAGGATGCAAACATTATGACACATTTGAATAAAAATAAACCAAAGAAACCATTGAAATTGTCACCTTAAAATTTTCAACAATAAATATTCTTGAAAAGGTTATCTTTAGAATATTGTGGCTGGTCTTTGTCAAATTTAAATAAAAATATTTATTTAATTTTGTGGCTGCAATAGAAAACACATTTAAATATTTAGATCATTCAAATAGTCGAGCAATTTTGTATTACAAAATCAACAGATCTGTAACAAAATTTTATAGATTTTCTCCTGCAATACTTTAAAAAATTAAATTTCTAATTATACACATTAAAAAATTTATGATTATTTCACAAATAAAAACTTTATAATTATTAATATTTTCCCAATTAAAATTTATTTCCACTTAAAAACAAAATTAAATATCACTCTTTTTTTTAACACCGTTTGTATTTTTTAAGTGTTAATTTAATGAGCTTTAAATTATTCAAACAATAAATAACTTTTTCGTTTAACATTACACATTTTATTGACTATTGATAATTGAGTAAGAAATTTTAATTGCCCTTAAAAAAATCCGCCTCATAAAATAGAAATTCATAACTCCTAGACAGTTGGAGTAGTTTTTTAATACTGCTGTTTTTATCCAAAAAAAAAAGAGAAAAAAAAAGTCAAACTCGTTCAAATTTTTGTTAAAATTGGTAAAAAAGATTTTCCATCTCTTTTAATTTCATCAGTAAAGTAATCAAAATTTTTGTTTTTAGAAAAAGAAAGAAATTAGGTTATTCGTGAGCGGCAAACGAAGGTCTTTTTTACCTAATGAAATTGCGAATTCAAGATAAAAAGAAAATTAACAAAAATTATTTTTATTATTTAATTTACTTGTATGAATTTTGAATTCCCACGAAACATTTGACACAAGAGACATTCAACATAAAATTTAAAATTCAACACAAAATTTTAGAAAATAGAGAAAGAGAAATATTTTACAATAAAGTGTTGAATCAATCAAGTTTAAATAAAATGTTAATAACACTTAAAATTTTGACAAATAAAATGCGAAATAATACGAAAATCTGCGAGATATAAAAAATTTAAAAAAGCAAAGTCATGCATTTTGTAAGTTTTGATCATATTACGAGTATAAGACGTTTTTCCGATCATACAGAAGAAAGTTCCCTCAGAGCCGCTAGGGGTGCTATTGTTAATTTCTTTTGATAAACGAAATTTCGTTTAGAATAACCGGGAAAAATTGATTCTGCTTCCTTCGTTTACAAATTTTGCGAGGACAGTGACCAGAATGCAAGAATGGCACACATTTTTTGTTACTCTCCGTTTTTGGCAGCCAGAGGAAAAGTTTCGTTCTCTTTTTTTTTATCTACCTAATAAAAATCTAAAAGTTACATACGATATTTTGTATAACAAATTATGTATTTTTTTTTCAAAATCTACTTTGAAATTGCTGCTTATTTAGTATGGGATGAATAAAATCCTAAAATATTCCAAACTATAAAAATGAATGTATATTCAACCAAGTCTTACACAACAGTCAATATGTTACGAGTATATTCATTATTCATTACACTTTAGTTGAACTAATTAAACTATTTGAAGAGAGAAAGAGCTTACGAAATTATTTTTGAAACTATAGAGTGTAAGTGTACAATCAGGCAAGTTGACTAACCTCCAACATTTTTTTTTTCAAAAGAACTAAGCATCCATATTCGCAATAATGTGTTTGACCTTAAATTTTTTTTTCCCTTAAATTACAATAGAATCAAAACTTGTTTTAATGAATGTAAAAAATAAATTTGTATTAGATCAAATAAAAAATTTTTTACGTCTCAAAACAAAGAAACAATTTTATTGTTAGAGTATTGAAAATAATTGTAAAAGTTTCTAAAAAAAAACCAAAGC